TATTTTACGCCATAAAGATAATGAGAAGGTTCGGCTTTCCTTCAAGTCTACTGTGGAAGACGTTGAGAAAATTGATGCAGCGAAAGATTCAGATTTGCCATACCAATTCAAACTCACTTTGAGGAAAGAGCTTGAGGATGGTACGGATGAATGGTTTCAAGAATCCTTCGATGCAATAGTTGTGGCTGTTGGCCATTATCATGTTCCGTTTATTCCTGACGTACCAGGTTTGAAAGAGGTACAAAAGAAATTTCCTAATGTTGTCCAGCATGCAAAATTTTTCACTACCCCTGATCCTTACAAGGATAAGACCATCGTCGTGGTTGGGTCTCGTGCTCTGGGAGCAGATCTTACTAGATTTGCAGCTCAAGTGGCCCACACAGTATATCAGCTGAAGCGGAACTGGAACGATAAAATTAGAGTACCTGAAAAAAAGAACATTCACTTGAAGCCGGTGATAAAGAAGTACGAAATTGAAAATGATCATTTGAAAGTTGTTTTTAATGATGGCACTGAGATTCTTGATCCTGATCATATTGTTTACGCAACGGGATACCAGTTTCTGTATCCATTCTTAAGAAGAGAATATGGTGATATCACCGAAAATGGGGTTATCGTCTCAAATATCTATCAACACACCTTCTTGATCAATGAACCTCTTATAACAATGGTTGGAATTCCTATCGATGCAATCTCGTTTAGGGTATTTGAGTATCAAGCAATTTTGGTGACAAGATATCTTGCTGGCAAGGTACTTCTTCCAACAAAAAAACACCAAAGACAATGGCTAGACGAGCGTTATGCTTCTAAGGGAACTACTCGAGGCTTTCACACAATTGGATCAGTTGATGCGGTGGAGTACATGAGAACGTTAACCGAACTTGGTACTCCAAAATCAAGTGAACTTCCGGTTGGTCGAGAATTTCCAGAGTTCACCGAAGAGCAGGTTGAGGAATACAAGAAGGCAAGTCTTAAATTAATTGAATTTTGGGATGAACCTCGCATTCCCGTATAGTTTATACATATACATAATAGTCTGCTGCATCCTAAGGAAATGAAGAGCGAAGTGAAATAGAAAATAAATGAATTTGTCTGTATGATTCTGGCCTTGAAAAGAGAAAGATAGAGTAAAAAAAAGAAAGAACAAGCTAGCGCCGCCAAGTTTCGATCCTGGGACATCAGGGTTATGAGCCCTGCGCGCTTCCACTGCGCCACGGCGCTTGTTATGAACACAAATTGGTCCCGCTTTTGTATGACTTACAAATTGATCATAAGTTTCTATAACATAGAATAGTTCATTCAGACGGGTCTAAAACTACGTCCGCTTCTTCTTTTTTCTCTTCAAAGATTTGTTTTCATTGTTCATCACAATTCTTGTATTTGCTTATATACATAATCCGTCATCGAAACATACACTTCGGTGGCACTTAATCAACATGCTGGTGAGGACGATGAAATTGATCACCTGAAAATCAATACAGCTTAAGCAACTTCTTTCCCGTTTCATTCCCTATTAAATACTTGTATAGCCGTACTATCGACTTTAATGCTTTTGCAAAGGTTCCACCACGAGTTTATCAAAGGTAAACATTTGGGAAATTGTAGTCTGTCTGTTAAGCATTGCCAAATTGTCCACGCCTTCGTTAAAGAACTCAGTGATTTTGTCTTCCTCCTTCAAGTTCTTATGTTCTTTGAATGCATCGTGAACCCGTCTCTTCGTGTATTCTCTGTAATTGTAGTTGTCAAATTTTTGAGCCTTGCCCAAAAGTTGCTTATACAACGTGAGGATTTGTTTCTTGTTTGGCGCCATTCTGTTCTAGGGTGATAAAGAAGACCAGTATAGTAATAGTGTGTTCGATGGCCAACTTTCTCCGACAGTACGGGCCGAGAACAACCTTGTGCAGTACATTATATAAGCCATACCATACAATATGGAAGAGAATACTTATATTTGAGAAATAAAATTGCAATTAGTATTAAGCTTAACACGCCTGTACCGTTTGAAACTCACAGTGAATCTTTGTGCTTCATCCCTAGCGTATCATGAATTATGCATGCAACCATGCTAGACTCAACTATGGATGCTCATTCTCATGCTCGTTCTCGTGCTCTTCTTGGAATAAGGCGTCATAGTCATGCTGAGTCATCTTATGAGATTTCGTTTTAGATTTCTTGGTACTTGCTTCGGCCATCATCTCTTCAAATATCCGAGCCTCTTCGTCTTCCTCCGGAGAACGCTGCGTGGCCCAACAATTCGTTACCAATAAATAGAACAGCATAAGCCCTTTCGAGTCTTTCCTTCTTATGCAAGGACTTGTCAAACAAGACTGCGTGCGTGACTTTGTTCAAAACACCTGTGATTTCGAATTTAGTTGATGCCCAGGCTGCAGCCAAAAACTTGCCTGTGATCAATCTCTCGTTTTCCATCAACTTGTACTTTTCGGCGTCGCTTAGCTCATGGCCAGATTGCTCCATGGCAGCTTGCTCCTTCATCATCACTTCAGCAGCAGCTTTTGCATCCAAAGCGGCCTTCAAAATCAGAAATCCTGACTTCATTCTGCTAGTTTTGGTTTTCATCGACGTGAATATTTTCGAGACACCAAAAGTCTTGGAAGCATGTATAGCCGCATTTGCTTGTTCAACATAGGTCTTACCAATCAAGTGCAAGATTTGAATACCAAATGACTCTATCTTTAAGTCTTCGAGCTCTTTTTGAAGCTTTGATCTGTACAGCAGCAATGCGTCTGGGTTGGATGATGCGGCAACGTACAGCTCGATTCTCAGAAGCAAGTTCTCGACTAACTTTTCGATCCGTTTTTGTTTAGTGCGTTTCTGTTCCTCCTGAAGTTGCAAAAGCTTTTCTCTCTTTTCGTGTGTCATCTTGGATTTCTTTTTCTTTTCCACTTCGTTGCTCATATCCGTGTATGGTGTACTCGAGTTAGATGCTCCCACAGTCAGGTTTTGGTTATTGTGAGCGACATCGGTGACATTAGTAGGCTGTTCAGATGACGTCTCTGCTTCATCATCCAACACTTCTGCCGTATCAGCCATGTCTGTCAACATAGACAACTCTCCGATCCAGTCCACGAAACTGTCGCCACCAAAGATCATCTTGAAAAACTCACTTGGATCAATGTCGGCCGCTTGCTCGGCCACCTGATTGTTTTTCATTCCATCAACTCCGAGCTCATCGTATAAGGCTCTCAGATCAGCATTCAGCAAAATTCCGTACGCTTCTCCCAATTCTTGAAACTTAGCGGCTGCGCCGGGATCATTCCCATTCTTGTCTGGATGGAGCTTGATGGCTTGCTTACGATAAGCTTTTTTTAATTCGGCCTCCGTTGCCGAAGGTTCGACACCGAGAATGTCATAGTAAGTCGTATCTTTGACCATTAGGAACTGCCTTGTATGATACTATTCTAGTTCCCTATAATGCGGTCGCGCACAAACCGGCATCATAAGTGATGTTGACCGCAAGCGAAGCGCGACTTGCACATACCAATATCTTCCCATCTCAAAGCGTTCTCGTTCAAGAGCATTTTCACTTGAACGAAAACCTGATTAGTATAGCCAGTTTCGTCTCATTTGCACATTCGGATTTGCAATTGGCTCTCTCTTGGTAAGTAAGAGCTTTGACTTGATTGGCAAAAGCACCTTTAAGGAAATTGCTAGAATTCCATTCTGTGTTCAGTCCATCATTAATTTGATGACTTACGATTATAGAAGCGGGGAGAAGGAGCTCAAGTGTACGTTATAGAAAGCTGTTGGATCCTTTTTTTTTTTTTTTTATGATTTTTGCGCCGCGCAGCCCTTAGTGCCTGACGTCAAATGATAAGATTTGACGTTTGCGATGAGACATAATGTAATCGATGTCTTCAATTTCAACCATCTCTTTATCAATCTCTACTATTTGTTACTAGATGGCATGACAATCGATGCCGAACGCTACATAGGATGGAAGTGTAATAGACTGCCTTCGGTTGACACGAAACGGTTCATGTTTTTGACTTTGTCCGAGACACCGAGCCGAGCTCCGAGCTCCGAGCTCCGACAAATTTTTTAGATGGAATTTGACATTTCGGAGCACAGTACATAAAGACCGTAATTTCAGTCTTGCTGTACGTTTTGGTACCTTTCATTATATCTTACTTGTCTTCTTATAACCATTCCGGATAACGTTCTGTTATCGTACAAGTGCGCAGAACACCAACTACGAGATTGCAACGTTACAACACATTACTATCAATCCGATAACTCACATATTGCCATGTCTTCATCAAAAGAATCAAACGACGGAAGTCTTCATGGCAGCAGCAGTATAGAGAACAATCCTCCTATTATAAGTCGCACCGAGACAAGAACTACAGCTCCTGCTGATGAGCTACCCTATGGTCGTTCTGAGACAGTTCAAAATTTAGAAGATAAACTTGGAGACAGTCATGTCAATCTTCTACCCAAGAAAAAACTCATAATCTGTCTCATGGGTATGTCGCTTAGTCTTTTTGCATGTTTCTGTGATCAAACAAGTGTAACAGTTGCGCTACCATATATAGCGAAAGACCTACATGCGACAGACTCCATTAATTGGGCAGGAACATCTGCTTTAGTGGCCAATTGTGTTTCCCAAGTTCTTTTTGGTCGTTTTGCCGACATTTTTGGAAGAAAGACTGTTCTTCTTTTCAGTCTTTGTCTTCTTATGATTTCCAATATGTTATGCGGGTTTGCTCAAACAGCAGTTCAGTTTTATATCTTCAGGGCATTTGCTGGTATTGGAGCCGGTGGCACTCAGTCATTAACGATGGTAATTGTGAGTGATATCGTGACTTTGAGACAGAGAGGAAAATTTCAAGGAATTTTGGGTGCAAATGTTGGTTTAGGAAATGCAGTGGGTCCATTGATTATGGGAGTCTACACTGAAAAACTCTCTTGGAGATATTTTTATCGGACCCTCCCACCAATTGTGGCAGTCGTGACAGTTACAGTCTATCTACTCGTGGATAACAAAAAACCACATCTGCATTCTGTTCTAACCACTAAAGAAAAATTTCAGAAGATAGACTACTACGGTATCGTATTTGCTATGGCTGGTCTTCTATTATTGTTAATCCCTATCAGTGGTGGTGGATCTACCTATAAATGGAACAGCCCAATTGTTATTGTCATGTTCTGTGTTGGAGGCGTTTGTCTCATAATATTTCTTCTCATTGAATGGAAAATCCCCGAATTACCAATGATCCCACTCCAACTATTTCAGAACAGGTCCCTTTGTATTCTATTAGGAACAACGTTTTTGAATGGTGCAGCATATTTTGGATTTTTATTCATTGTGCTGTATTATTATGAATTGGTGAAAGGTGGGTCTCCAATGCGCTCTGCGGTTCTCATGCTTCCACTTGTTTTAACACAGGCTACAATGTCGTCCATTGCCGGTACCATTATATCTTACATTGGACATTTTTTGCCCATCATGTATAGTGGATACCTGTTTTGGTTGACTGGATGCGGCATGACAGTTGCTTGGAAGGAGGATACTTCGACGGCCTATATTGCAGGTACGTTGATCATGCTAGGTACTGGAATCGGTTTCATTTTCCAGCCTACAATGGTTGCAGCACAAGCGAACTCAAGAATGTCCCAACGTGCCGTTGTGATCAGCACACGTAATGTGCTCCGGTCTTTCGGAGCTGCTTTCGGCACGGCCATATGCTCGCTAATAATCACCAACACCTTGGTTACTGAAATCAACAAAAAAATGAATGAGGGTGGTGCTTCCATGTCATATTTACTGTCATTGAAGAAGAATATTTACTCCAGGCCTGACACCGCCAATTTGACCGAGGCTCAACTCCACGTAGTAAGGTCCTTATACATGAAGGCGATAAGGAATGTCTTCTACCTTACAATCCCATTGGTGTCGATTTGTCTTTTATCCACATTCTTTGTTAAAGATAATGGTTTGCAATGTTTGGATGAGGTTCCAAAAGCAACAGAAGAAAAAAATGCCAGTGAATAATTTTAATAAAAAGCATTCAGTTAAATCTCAAGTAGTTGAGCACATCATCGAACGGAGCATCCAGATCGCGAGATTCAAGAAATCCTTGAAGAGCATCAATGTTCTGCCCCAAAAATCCTTCTAGGTCTCCTCTCATGTTTTGCATCTGGTGTTGTAATTGTTCTTGGTACATGGGATAATTATGGATCCAGTTTTGTGCCACGTCAGCAAAGCTACCTGTATTTTCATTCGCTCCTTGAAATAAGCGATTTGAAATGAAGTCCCTAATACTGAAATTCCCACTGAAAATGTTTTGGCAGACGTTAAAAATGAAATGCACATCCTTCGTGAAGAATACGTTTGCTCCCCGAATGTAAATAGTGGAAACAACGAAGAAAAGAACTAGAAAAAACGTGAATTTAACAATCGATGTTAAAAGTTTTATCCACATGGTGAAGAGCCGCCGCAGAATCTTGTAAAACAAATATATCAAGAGACCAGTGGTGGCTAGATCAGATGCCCGTGGGAACGTATGACTTAAATATTGCACAATCAACAACACGTTACGCAACATGAAAACTGATATATTCACAAGTAGCAGCCCTAGTAGGACTATATATTCGCTGAAGGAGGACATATTTATGTTTTTTCCATTTGATACCTTCATTCCTGTTCTTGGTCTTCTCAGATAAGCGTTGTATGCAGGTTCTATATTGTGAAGCCAATTGTACAATAGCGTCAACTCTATGCACACTTTTACTTCTTGCTGGAATCAGAAATCAATCCATTGGTGTCTCTAAATGAGAGATCTCCCAGAGTGAAGCTAGAGTTACGTGAATAGAGACAGATGTTGGAAGTTAAGATGAGTAACTTTTACTGAGGATTGATATATTGGGATGGGGTTGATTCTTAGACAAGGAACCATCCTAGAGTAAATAGTATGATCTTACTTACTTCGGAGATCTACAAAAAGTAACATTCCTAATGCATAGAGTGACGTATAGGTCTACTCAGTAGATATGATTCTCTCTTGGTAACTGATTATGAGAAAAATAGTGTGCATAAAGATCAGTGTATGTGTCTCAACATGAGTTCTATGCGTGTTCAGTAATTTGAAAACCCATTTCCAAATTATACAATAATAAAAATTAGATAACGAAAGAGAAGTGGAAGCTACCCTTTGTGTGTTTGACCGTAGAGGCCATCTACTTTTGGCTTCAAAGTAATCATTCATAATCGGGCCGTTCATTGACCTAACAGAAGATTTATTGGGTTACCCGGCACGGTGCGAATAATATATAATCAGCTCTTTTTCTGCACCATATTTTCGAACCTTGAAAGTTGCCGCCAGATTTTCTTGTAACAATGGCAAGAAGCGGGTTTGTTTTTCTATCTGATTTTGTTGTCGCTCAGCTTCGGCTGAAAGCTTGTTGGCTCGTGCTTCGCCTATTAATTTAGGGAGGTGCATTATGGGTTGACTTGTCAGATGACAAAAGATGTTGGACTAAGAAACGGTGCGCTTGTTGCTTAGAAAGTTTGGTTAGATAAACGAGGTTATACAGAATATCTTGAAGGTTAGAAACTTCAAGGTATCCCGTTACATCACTACATTCAGCCATCCCGGGTTTATTTTTAGTAATCTTTATTTTTATATTTTGTTCATGGCTTTTACTTTTTTCTCGAGATGGGTGCGCGCGTCATATCCACCTCATCCTTAATCTATTCGTCTGTGTTCAACTAGGTAGCGTGAGATTTGCTGTGTTCTGGACTTGTGTTAGCCAAGTATTCCGATCGGTACCAAGACCAGATAAAAATGTACAATGCTCGGCAAATGGTCAAGTTTCGACAGCATGTGCATGATCGAAGGTTCACTCATAGTGGCGCTGCACACATGATCATTTATCTGTGGTGCTCGCAGTATCAGCTTTTACTTTTACACCTAACTCAACTATCCGCTCTCAATTCTTTGCGGTAACCTTGATTAGTCCCTACCAAACAAGTTTCTGTTGAGGTTTTTTTTTTTTTTTTGAATTTCATTCCTTCACATTTTAAATGGCCATGTTTCTGAGAAGGAGGCCACCGCAACTCTCGACGCTAGAGGAACTTCAGCAAACATACGCAGACGTTTGCAATACTACCATTAAAAACTTGGAGTTGGAAGAACATGCCAAATTAGAAGATGCATTGAAAGGATGGAAGTCGCTTCACACACTGTTGCTTTACAAAATCGATCTTTTCGAAAAGCGCCCCGGCAAAATTCAAGCGGATGAAGCTGCGATAATGAATGAGCTAAAGGGAATCAGGGACGAGAATGTCAAGCATTTAGTACGAATTCAACTACTATTGGATGAAAAACACCGCCGGGCTAAACCCTCTGTTGCTTCATCCGTGCAAACTGGACACTATAGTGGCTCTTCGCATAATTTAAGTGTTCCTTCCTTGCGCTCTAATAACCCCACTAGTCGCTCATTCAACAGTTCAAGTGGTCAGAGACAGATGATAAAGTCTTTAAGATCTACACCTGCTCAGAAAGTCCCTCAACACCAAAGGGACGCTGTAGTGAAAGCTGCGGCCAACATTTCTTGGCTGAGACCATCCAAAAGTGCTCCAAAGCCTCAAGAAGATGCATTCATTGACTTTGATCAAACAGAAATGAGCCCAAATGCATGGGAGCGTCTCAATTCGCGTACATCCACCCCACCATCCGACGAGTACGAGGGTTCTCCTAATTTGATAGACTTAGAGGTGGAACCTTCTTCTTACTTTAGCAAATCTTTGGAGGACCTTTCCATCCAGAAAAAGAAGCCTCCTCCTCCTCCTCCCAAGAGATTATCTAATAACATGAATTCTCTTCCCGCATTATCTGTTTCCCCACCAGACCACGCTTCATTCCATTTAAAGCCATCCATTAAGGCTGCTTCGAAATCGACTTCTGATATCCGTACCACTAGTGCTCCAACAGAGCCTAAAAAGTACATTTATACCCAGCCTAAACCGATTAATGTCAAGAAGATCATGCAAGCTCAGAGTAACAGACCTAAGGCCGTTCTGGCAAAATCCTCATCAACGAAGACACCGCAAAAGACCGGCGCGTCTACTCATAGTGGATCAAAACCGCCTCACGCAAAGCCAGGTACCAAATTTGCAAATCCTAAACCTGCAACAACAACCGTAAAGAAATCTAATATCACATACAATTACAAGCCAATGGAAAAATCAAAGACTACGAAACCAAAAGCCGCAACACAAGCCAAACCAACTCAGAAGATTCAAGATGAGAGCCTGGTTCCAGCTTCGCCTACAATGGACGATATACTTGACGGATATGATGAACAAAATATTCTCGAGCCTGTTGTACCTGATGATGGGTCTATGAGTCCCGAAGAACAACAAAAGTTGATCGAATCCATTCGTGGAATCGACGAGTTGGCGGCAACCCAGATCCTCAATGATATTGTTGTGACTGGTGACCAGGTTTATTGGGATGACATTGTTGGATTAGAAGCAGCCAAGAACTCTTTGAAAGAGGCGGTTGTTTATCCCTTCTTGCGGCCTGATTTGTTCCGTGGTCTTAGGGAACCCACGAGAGGAATGTTACTTTTTGGTCCTCCTGGAACAGGAAAGACTATGCTTGCTAGAGCCGTTGCTACCGAGTCCAAATCCACCTTCTTCTCAATCAGCTCATCATCATTGACATCAAAATATTTAGGAGAGAGTGAAAAGTTGGTGAAGGCCTTGTTTTTGTTGGCAAGGAAACTCAGTCCGTCTATTGTATTCATTGACGAAATTGACTCCCTCTTAGGTACCAGAACCGAAGGCGAAGTGGAGAGCATGCGTCGTATCAAGAATGAGTTTTTGGTTCAATGGTCCGAGTTATCCTCAGCTGCTGCAGGACGTGACTCCACTACAGAAGATGTAAGTAGAGTTTTGATTTTGGGTGCTACTAACTTACCGTGGGGTATTGATGATGCTGCTAGGAGGCGTTTTGCGAAAAGAGTTTACATTCCTCTTCCAGAAGATGAAACTAGACGATTACAAATTAGCAAGTTACTTGCGTATCAGAAGAACACTCTTCTGGATGAAGATTATGATCAGCTTGTTGAGCTCACAAAAGGTTTCAGTGGAAGTGACATAACCCTTCTAGCCAAGGATAGTGCTATGGGACCATTGCGTTCTTTAGGTGACAAGCTTTTAAGCACGCCTACAGACCAAATTCGTGCGATTCAACTTGAAGATTTCAAGGAGAGTTTGAAGTACATCAGACCGAGTGTATCTGCTGAAGGTCTAGGTGAATATGAAGACTGGGCTGGTAAGTTTGGTTCCTCTGGAGTCTAACTTTGTATATTAGTACAACTACAGCATGAAAACACAGTTCTAATACTGCTTATTTTGTACGTAACTCAAACGGTGGTCAATTCATTCTATTACAGATGACTTTAAATGTATGATGCCTTCAATGCATCAATCTTAGGGAATGTTCTTAGATACCGTCAGTGAAACCCCCAACAACAGACTTGGAGAAGCCTCCTTCCTTGACGGCCAACTCGTAGTAGCCATAAATAGTAGTGACACTCAACAAGATCGATGTACCGCTTCCCAAACAGCCCATCATATCACTAACAACAGATAACGCACCAATGGCAGCACCGCCAAATGCGGCAGCAGTAGGAATAATCTTTTTCAATTCTCTGTAAGCACTAGTATCTCTGTGGCCGGCAATCACCAAGCCCTGTTCCTTGAACTGCTTGGCCACATCTCTAGGAGAAGTTCCCGAGATTTCAATCCAGGTGGTTGAGAAAATAGCGCAGGAGCCTAACACAAATGTGATGTAGATGACAGTCTTGATTGGGTCCAACATAGCTTCAGTCACAGACATTGGTGGCTGGATGTAGTAAGCCAAACCGCTAACAGCTTGTAATTGGCCAGTGCCTTGTCTTTGTCCCCAGGAGCCCAAGATCTTGACAAAAAGGTTGTTTGGCCATCTCATGAAGAGCATCTGCGAGATGATGAAGATGTTAGAGGACAAGGCAGACTGCAACATGATAGGTGTGTTAGATGTGTAGAACAATCTGATTGGGTACAACGCATATGGACCTCTTTGTCTTGTAGACTTGATAGGGATTTCGAGTCTGAAGCCTTGCAAGTACACAACAGCGAAAAACACAGCCACAGTGGAGAACACTTGAAGCATGTTAGGCAAGTTTTGTCTGTAAAACGCTTCCAACAAAGCTCTCTTCTTGTCCTTTCTGGATCCGAGCAAGTGGAACAAGGCGATGACTGCACCATCAAACTCTGCTCCCTTTCCAGAGGTCGAAGTAGTTGGCGCAAAAGCCTTCCACATCACCTGTTCACAAACATTAGTGGCAGTGAACAAGGAAATACCTGAGCCGAGACCATAGCCCTTTTGCAACAATTCGTCCAACAAAATGACAATAATACCGGCGAAAACCAATTGCAAAATCAACAACAAGCACACACCAGTGCCCAAGGTCTTAGGAGGACCGTACATACCGGTTAAAACATAGACGGTGGCCTGTCCGACGGACAAAATAATCGCAAACAATTTTTGGGCGGTCTGGAATTGTTCTCTGTCTTGTTTGTTCGACATGTCAACGTGGATCAATCTAGTACCTTGCAACAACTGGAAAACCATCGAGGACGAGACGATCGGGGTGATACCAAGCTCCATCAAGGTACCACGGTTGGAGGCCAACATCATTCTAAGCCAAAGCAAAGGATCAGACCCATCAGAGGACACGATACCATAAAGAGGAATTTCGGACATCACGAGGAAAATCAATAACGTAACACCGGTCCACATCACACGCTGGTTGAAAGGCACCTTGCGCTCTGGAGCAATGACTTCGGGCACCAAAGGCTCGAAAGGTTTGACAAGGTCCAACACACGGAAACTCATGGCGGGCGTTTGTCTGGAAAGTGAGTATACTGGAAAAAGTGCGCTGAAATGAAAAACGACTAGTGCGGTGTTGACGTGTTCAGTTACCAGGTTGCTCACGTGACGTGTTTTGTCCTTTCCATTCTATGTCTGAATTATGTGTAACAAACTGTACGGGCGCAGTGGCTCAACGAAACGCTGCTGTTTGTGCCTAGGTAGATATGCTCAACGGAATACTGATGGAAAAGTGCATTGGCATATGGCCATCCCCGAATGAATTTGAGGACAGCGTTTCAGACTAATACTAGTGCGCGCTTTATTATTCACATTGGGATGCACACGCCGAGCGAAACATTTACCACTTCATTCTCACTCCAGGAAAAGATGTCAGGATGGGCGGCCAACTTATCGGCGGCGAAGAGGCTGTCACCTAAGCCTGAGTCATCTCCCAGTCCAACCAAGTCCCCTGCTAAGAGCTCCTCGCCAGAAGCTTTCAATGCTGCGGAGATTCTAGATTGTCTCAGTGCTAGATACCACCGGGAGTTGGCAGAGGCAAAGCAAGATAAGCTGGGCGAAAAAGTGCGCGTTTATCGTTCTCTCCATTCATCTTCAGCATGGACTACGAAAAGCTCGGTCAATAGTAGGGGAAGACGAGACGAGGATGGACGCTTCAATCTTTTGGACGAAGTGAATCGGGCAATCGCACGAGCAAAAAAACACTAAGTGGTGGGCCGCATAATAATGGAGGCGCGCCCCACCAGTACATAGCCAGCGTTACATCGAATTCCATCTGTGGACTTATTTAAACTGAGTATAATGTAGTATGAAGAAGTTGTATTGGATTAGTCATTTGCTTTGGATGACCTGTTTTTCGTTTTAGATTCAAGATTGATTTTTGAAAGTATATTGTCGTCGTCTCATTTGTGATTTTGGCCCTAATCGCACATTCTGAGCCATTATTACAGGTGGCACATATTATTGTGCAAGAACATTTCTTTGAAAAAAAAAAAAGACTTTCGAACACGCAAGTTTTATACATAGTAATCTTCAAGTAACTTTGGTCCAATCAGTATCCGGTAGTAAAAATATTATAGCATGATCTGTTCGCTACTGTCTATTGTTCGGCGTTTTCTGTGTCGCATATTCGGGCATGTGACCCTGGACGAATTGTGGGGTCGCTCGCGCACGGTTACACCCGGATTTGGAGCCTCTTCCTTTTAAATCCGCTTGCTTGCTCAAAGCGAATGACGGGTTGCTTTCTCCCGCTGATAATGACTCTGGTTGTCATGCTGAACACTAGTGTTTAAACTGTGTTTTGAGACAGATAAAACCATGCCAATGCCTTACTGTTGTTAAAGCCGAACGTGCAGAAAGTGAACTTTTCCTTACTGGGATGGACGTCCTTTGATCCGAGCCCCGGTGGTCGACGGCTGGCCAGTCATGTATGCAGGATGACATTGCCATTTCCCACAATTCTCCGGGATTGAATATAAAACTCTGGGGTAAACGACTTTGCTAAGAAACAATATTCTTTTTCTCCTTGGGATTTTCTCTCCAACTTTACATCTCTATATTTTGTGGTTTTTCTCTTGCCTTTTATTTGAAGAGCCATCATTGTATTACAATCTGCAAGCTGCAAATCTATAATCTCATTGCATATCAATTTACCCCGCCATGGTCCAAACTGTCTCCGATCAGATGAACGTCGAAACAGACATCATTACTTTGACCCGTTTCATTCTTGAAGAGCAACAAAAATTCGCTCCCAACGCAACTGGTGAATTGTCCCTCTTATTGAACTCGCTCCAATTTGCCTTCAAGTTTATTGCTCACAATATCAGAAGAGCAGAATTAGTCAACCTCATTGGCATTTCGGGCACAGCAAACTCCACTGGTGATGTACAAAAAAAATTGGACGTTATTGGTGACGAAATTTTCATCAATGCTATGAAATCGAGTGGCAATGTCAAGGTGCTTGTTTCAGAAGAACAGGAAGACCTCATTGTTTTTGAAGGTGGAGGACGTTACGCCGTCTGTACTGACCCAATTGATGGTTCTTCCAATATCGATGCTGGTGTGTCTGTTGGTACGATTTTTGGCGTTTACCGCTTGAAAGACGACCTGTCTGGCTCTATTCGTGACGTTTTGAGAAAAGGTACAGAGATGGTCGCTGCGGGTTACACTATGTACGGTGCTTCTGCTCACCTTATGTTAACCACTGGTAGAGGCGTCAATGGTTTCACTTTGGACACGCAATTGGGAGAATTCATCTTGACTCAACCAAACTTGAGAATTCCTAAGAATAGGGCCATCTACTCTGTGAACGAAGGTAACTCGTACTACTGGCCAGAGAACATCAAGAAGTATATTGAGGACTTGAAGAAGCCACAAGATGAATTGAAAGGCAAGCCTTACTCAGCTCGTTATATTGGATCTATGGTGGCAGACATTCATCGGACGTTGTTATACGGAGGCATCTTTGCTTACCCAGCCGACTCTAAACTGAAGAATGGAAAATTAAGAATTCTTTATGAGTGCTTTCCAATGGCAATGTTGATGGAAGAGGCTGGAGGTGCAGCAGTCACTGATAAGGGTGAGCGTATTTTGGACATCCTTCCTAAGGGAATCCACGACAAATCTGGAATCTGGTTGGGCTCAAAGGGAGAAATTGAGCGTTTCTTGAGCTACTTGTAAGCTATTAGCAAGCCACTAATAAATGGTTATGGATGGCGATATGAACCTCGCGGTATCGTGAGCTGACTTCGCGAAATAGTTTTATATATTTAAAACGGGCCTATTCAGTCAGAGTGTGGCTTGTAATGAGCACATATATGTACAAACTCAAATTTGTTCGTTACCCTTCGTACTCATGAGACTTATCAGGTGTGTAAGACTCCCTCAGAATTGTTCTGAGTATCACCTGTACACTCGAAGCCTCGTAAATGAAGCAATTCAATAGAGATGCATCATTTACAATGCATAGCTTCTGTGCGTCACAAAAACTGGCCAGCTAGAAGTATTCTGGAAGTCTGTTGTATAAAGGTTTTGAGAAATTGTGGAAACAATGCCTAATGGTCGTGTGGGGCAATGTAGATACTTCAGTCCTGACTCATTCTCCCTGCAGGTTCTAGTGATCTCTACCATAACCTTTACCTACTGGGATGAAATCGCCGCTTCACGCGACGACTCGTCACATTCGCAACTTTTTGGCCGCCCGCTATGACCAAGAACACCTCCGGCGGGGAGCGTTTGTCATCGCTTTGAGCAGTTGTCTTTCGCTGGGGTCAATCATGCTCTTCTCGCTCTTTGCCCTGGCCCTCCATCGTACTGTGGGTCTCACCTATACCGAAATCAACTTCATTGTGTCATTGTCTGCCGTTGGCATGTACTTGTGCCTCCCCATTTTGGGCTATCTTGCTGATAAATATTCGCCTGCGCTTCTCACCTTGATATCGATCTGGGCGTTTTGTCCCGCATACGCTGTCAACGCCCATTTGGTGAAGCAGAGCAAGGACTTATCGCCAGTTGGTGTTTTCTGTATGGCTGCAAGCTTCTGCTTTATTGGGTTAGCGACGTCGCTGTTGTACTTTCTGAGTTTACTCACATGTGCCAAAATATACCCTAACCACAAGAGTATGGCCATTTCGATGCCCGTAGCATGTTACGGGCTTTCGTCATTAATCGGCTCCCAAATATTGAAGCTCCTGTACTTTCATCACAAGTCTGAACTCGATTTACACAGAGTGTTTCTGTTCTTTGCTGGCTTGTACTTTGTTGTGGGTATCTTCAACTTCGTGGCCAACTCGATTGTGACCATCGAACAGGAGGTCATTTTCGGCGAGGAAGAGCCCTTATTGGATACGGAGAGTCTGCACAGCTCACTCTTGGAGCCAAGGCGGTCGTTACTGATTGAACCTGTCGATCACCGCAAGCGCTATATTCGGTTCTTGCGCGATAAGTCAGCCTGGGTGCTTTTGGCGTCGCTTGTGCTCAATGTTGGGCCCTTAGAGAGCTTCCAAAACAACTTGGGCCTGATAGTCGACGCTTCAAGTGAAGCCATTGATATTGGTGACCAGGTTTCATGGATTGCAGCCCTGTCCACAGTGATCCGACTTTTAATTGGTGTCGTTGCGGACTGGATTCTGAGTCCCGAAAGGAAACATCCAGTTTGCAAAGTGTGGCTTTTACTTTGCTGCACCTTCTTGGGTGCTGCGGGCCAGCTCGCTGTTCTTTTTGCACCCAATTTCACCACGGTGTCCGTGTTGAATGGTCTCAGCTATGGCGGCCTCTTCACTATCTACCCGACTATAGTAGCATCTATATGGGGTGTTGATATGATGGGCTCTACATGGGGCTCATTCATGGTGGCTCCGGCTGTGGGAAGCATATTCTTTTCTCTCTACTATGGACATGAGGTCGATCTGTGCACAAGCGAGGGCACGTGTTTGCAGGGCTACTTCCTGACTACATCATTATCCTTAGTTGCAAGCAGTGTGTTTGTATTGATAGCATGGCGTGGTATGTGGTGGAAGAGAGGCCACAGATGCTTTTAGGTGAAGGTGAAATACCGAGATGACTTCTAGCGCATTAGATTAAAGTACAGACGGCGCTCAACGTGCCGGAAAGACTATTTTAAACCAAAAAAAAAAAAAAAAAGAGCTCTGTACGGCCGGCTATTCGTACTCTGAAATTGGAGCGCCGCTTCCCAAATAGGGCGCATGCCGGATTTGACCAGGAATCGAATCACGCGTTACATGGCTTGTGAGCGGCCAAGCACCCAAAGCCCGGACTGTATATACGCTGCGAAACAACATAGAAACCATATAGATTTGCAAATCTAGATGGCTCATCAAGATATCTAGCCACAGCCTATTTAGTCGAAAACACGTTGTATATAGGCATGTTATTCCGATGTACGTTCGTCCTTCCCCTGTCTCGATTTGTCCAAGATGCGCCGCGCTGCAGGAACTTTTCCGCATACAGGGATCTCACCATGCGCCGCGGAAAGTATGTCGTTGCAGTCCCATTTGTATAGGGCACTGTGGCTATAACCTCCTATAAGATCTTGCTATGTCGGGTTGGTTCTTGTGTCTTACACGTATACTCTCCTGCTGTGACCCTAGTTCACATTCTGCCAGGGTGACTAGAACTCGTCAATATCCCAAGTCTACCGCAAGGTGCTTTCTTTCCTAGTGCCATTTTTGGTACGCCGGTGAGCACCGTGTTATGTTGAATCATGTACAGGACGAATGTCGGCGCGACGCATTTTTTATTTTTTTTTTCGCTGTTCGTTGGCCTTTCGCGCCTGACTTTCTATATAAGCTTGTACTTTCTCGAGCCTCGTGTTTCCCTTTCTTTTTGCTCTTTGACGAAATTTAAGTGCTGAGCATTCAAGTTTCACTTCCATCTAATACACATATACCCACAAACACATCATGAAGGCAATCATTCTCGTCGGCGGTTTCGGTACTCGTTTGAGACCTTTGACCTTATCCAAGCCTAAGCCATTGGTTGAGTTTGGTAACAGACCAATGATCATGCACCAGATCGAAGCCTTGGTTGCTGCTGGCGTCACCGACATCGTCTTGGCTGTCAACTACAGACCAGAAGACATGGAGAAAGCCTTGAAGAAGACCGCCGAGGAATACGGTATTAACATTGAGTTTTCCCTCGAGGAAGAGCCAATGGGAACTGCTGGTCCTTTGAAGCTTGCTGAAAAGATCTTGAAGAAGGATGACTCTCCATTCTTTGTCTTGAACTCCGATGTCATTTGCGACTACCCATTCGAGGAATTGGCCAAGTTCCACAAGGCACACGGCGGTGAGGGTACGATTATTGCCACTAAGGTCGATGAGCCATCCAAGTATGGTGTCATTGTTCACGACAGAGACACTCCCAACTTGATTGACAGATTCGTTGAGAAGCCAGTTGAGTTTGTCGGTAACAGAATCAATGCTGGTTTGTACATCTTGAACCCATCTGTCATTGACACTATTGAAATGAAGCCAACCTCTATTGAGAAAGAAACTTTCCCTCTTTTGGTTGAGAAGAGATCCTTGTACTCCTTTGACTTGGAAGGTTTCTGGATGGACGTTGGTCAGCCAAAGGACTTCTTGTCCGGTACTGTCCTTTACTTGGCTTCTGTTGCCAAGAAGAACCCAGAAGCTTTGTCTAAGGAGAAGTACATCCTCGGCAACGTCTTGGTTGACAAGACTGCCAAGATTCACCCAAGTGCCTTGATTGGTCCAGATGTTGTCATTGGTCCAAACGTTGTCATTGGCGAAGGCGCCAGAATCCAGAGATCGGTTTTGTTGGCCAACTCCGAGGTCAAGGACCACGCTTTGGTCAAGTCCACAATTGTCGGTTGGAACTCTAGAATCGGAAAGTGGGCCAGAACTGAAGGCTGCACTGTCTTGGGTGACGATGTGGAAATCAAGAATGAAATCTACGTTAACGGTGCCAAGGTCTTGCCACACAAGAGCATTTCCAGCAACGTTGAGAAGGAGTCTATTATCATGTAAACAAGTTTGCATTCTATCTTAATCTTTGTTTTTTCTAGTTGTATTCTACATTTAACGGATGCTTCTGTCATATTTTTAGTAGGTCATATACTGTTGGCGTTTCAAGGCTCTGTCGATACATGCGAAACAAAGTTTTCCTGTAAGGGCTTACTCAAAGGCTTGACACAGCTCAAGTACAGAACTAACAATACTCTTTTCATAGTGGGTTCAGTGATGGTCCCCATTTTCTCTACCTTTTTCGCCTTTGTCCCCTCGTGTAAGACGGTCACAGTATCCTTTTCTGCCACGAGCCACAAGGTGTCGTTTTTAGGTACAGATCCTTTAAAACCTTGGAAAATATTCCGCAATTGCTCCACACCATTACCAACTTCTTCCCTCATAGTCTTCGTTAATGGACAAGCCAATAACGATTTGGTCAAACCATCGCGCAAATGACCATAATCGGTATTTCTCACTGGGGTGATCTTAATGGCGTACGAGATCTTTTGAGAGATGTCATCGATAATTTCCTGAGAGAGTTCTTTGTCATTGAGCAATTGCTCGACGGTCCTGCCTTTGTTCAACTTCGAATACTCATCTAAGATAGTGGTGAGCTTCTTGTGATCATCTGCCTGGACATATATTCCAGCACCATACACTTTGAATCCAACAAATGTAACACTGCGTACTCCAGAGGCAACCAATTCATACTTCGAACTGATTATATCTTTGTTGTTGAGCTCAAGGGGAAAAGCATCAATAGAAGAATCCACAGACACACCAGCCAATGAACTGTTAGAGGCATCATTGAGTATGAGAGAACCACCAAGGAACAATGAAGTTGCAGCAATTGTTGCTGTCACTCGGGAAAATGAAGCGGGAGAAGTGAACTTTCTAGCGAAAGTTGGCTTTGCTCTTAAAAGCCCAGGTCTGATTAATTTCCACATATGAGGAGAAACGTTGTGTGTGATTATGCGCGGAAGCTGGGTTCTCATCTACACATTACCGATTTACTGGGGAAAAATAGCATGACACGATTCGACTATTTAATTGACGCAATCTCTTCACTAGTTGCAGCGGCACATTTGAGCGTTTTACCACTAGCTAGTTGGGCTTTGTGAATTGCCTCCCATAGTGCCCATTCCTGCTCCAATGTCTCGATCTCCAGTGTTAGCCAGTCATGATTTGATAGTGCAGAACTCAAGTAACCCAAAAGCGAATCCCCAGCTCCGGTGGTATTAACAATAGCTATTCCCTCGTTTTCTGTAGGAATTGCAAAGTGCTGTATGACTACTCCCAATTTCTTTCCGTCCTCGACTTCTCGGCCATGAGAGGTTATGGTAAAAGTAGGTTTAAAGTCAGAGGTGGTAGGAACAGACTTGTAACTCGTCACATCGGTGCTTAATCTGAACAAAACGCACCCCTCGGCACCTAGTTTCACCAAAATATTAGGTATATATGGCAATAACTGTGTAGCTTGTTGAGGAGTGCCTCGCTTTAAAAGCAGTGACATGACTGGGTTTTTAAGTGCAATAGACTCTAATCGATCACGAAATTGGGCATTGACACCCAAGGAATCCAACACAGGAAACCATTCATCATAGTCATCGAAGAGCTCTCTGTAACTGAAGGACGCATAAATGCTTTCAAGTTCAGCGGCGGTGGGAGTGATCATCAGTATACTATTATTGGGGAACACAGATAAGTTTCTTGAACTTAAGCCATTGATGCGTGCCAGTTTCGGTTGTGACGTAGGCTCAATGATGATTTTCGGCTGAATTGCAAGTTTTTTAGACTCAGAAATAACACTATCGAGGATTTTCGACAGAAGGTTACAATCAGCGACAATAAAACGTGGTTGCCCTCTTTTAATCTGTACTGCAATATGTTTTTCCCATGAGGAATCTTCCATGATGCTCATGTCTGCAACAGCGACGACCAAATCACCCTTGGAATCCATGATTGCAGAGTATTGTGCTGTTTTCTGTCCTTTGGCGACATAGATTCCACTTGTGTCTTCACCACAAGCATGAACTTGGGATATTACAGTTCTTCCAGCAAAATCATTACCAACGGCTGATACTAATCTGTAATTGTTCTTCAGGTCCTGACTTTGGAGACCAAATTTATGTGCTAAACTCACATTGAATCCCACTCCTCCAATGTTTGCAGTCAGAATTCCAGGATTTGAGTCTTCCAATACAACAGAGCCGCTAACTCTGCTTATTGTGTCTAACGCAATCAGCCCAACGATGAGAGTGTCCACAGTATCACTTCCCGTATTCTCCTTTGTCTCTTTAGGTTGCTGCAAAATGGTACTATCAATAGTCTTATTTCGGGTATGTTTGAGCCCTGTAGAGGGTTGAAAACTTGATGTCTGAGAGTTAGTAAATTACAAGTAACCTTGAGTAGAAGGAATACGTACTCTAGAATTGTGCTCTAAAGCCATTAATTCAATTGCAATTTTGGAGGCTGCATCAGCGTTGTTGATTACAAACTCCATATTGCACTCAACGGATTTTCCCTGGGTATCGTGGGCAATTTTCTGTAACAAATATGGTGTCAAGTCCTTCCCATGAATGCCCTTCTGAAGCGCCTCTTTGTTGGCATCCTCGATTATGCCACTCATAAGCTCACTCGAAAGAGCTATTTCGGCTGGTGGTGGAATGCAAAGCAAGTTTCCCGATTGGAGTTGCATTAAGTTATTCAGATGATGAACCACAGCAGCGATCTCTTTCCACGAGGTGAACGAATAAGGTGACCTGACACCCGACTCACGACAAAAGAATGAAGGAACTTCAATGTTGGCTCTTCCATCGTCGTTAAACGTGCTTACAAGAACTCCCTGTGTTTCCAAATACTCCATAGTCCGTGGAATATCTAAAATCAGCTTGGGCCCAGCACAAACTACTGTTACAGGTGTTCGGGACAACTCAGTTAGGTCTGCGCTAATATCCATAGTTATGTGTCCGTCTCTGTGAACGCCACCCAAGCCACCGGTTGCAAAAACTTTGATCCCACTAATATGAGAAAGTATCATTGTTCCTGCAATTGTGGTGCCTCCGTTTAGTTTCTGAGCCATTGTAGGACCAATATCCCGTCGCGACACTTTGTTGGCATTCTTCTGTTCTGCAAGATATTGCAACTGGGTATCGGAAAGACCCACTAGTGGTTCTCCTTGAATAAACGCACATGTGGCTGGCACACACCCATTATCTCTGATTTTTTGCTCCACTTTGCGAGCCATTTCAATATTCTTAGGGTAAGGGAAACCATGAGTAATGATTGTTGACTCGAGCGAGACAACTGGAACTCTATCATTGAGCGCTTGCTCTACTTCTGAAGAGATCTTAACATTGTTTTTGGAATTGAATCTCCTAATAAATATGTCGCTGCATCGTCTGATGGAAGCTGTACTTCCTCTCCTGAGTCTATACATGTTCTTCAATTCCCCTTCTTTGTCTTACTTTGTAGTCCGTGTAATAATCAGTAAATTGGAAGAGATCAGAATACGAATCGCGCGTAACATTGATGCGAAATCTGTGATCCTCATTACGAAGCTTCCGTCATTCGAGCATGGTATTCATACAAGAAGTGTCTCCTAATGAACCAGCAGAGGTTCAAGTATTGCTCCTGAGCAAACCCGTGGACGTTGAGCGTCTCAGCGTCTACATCCAGAACAACGCACTTTCTCCAGATGACACAGGCGTATTGATTTCCAAACTAGAAGCATGGCTCGCACTTGATGTACGTGATGAACATTATCATACGTCCAAACTCCCATATTTGTCTTTGGCTGTGACTTTATTTCGAAAGAGCACCCAAGAAAACCTGTTCAGGCTCCTTTGCCTTATTGGCGCTTACATAAATCCACACGTTAAGTGGTCCAACCTAGAGCTTGCCAATATTGCATCTTCGCTCTCTGTGGATGAAATATCAGTCCACATGTCTCAGTTTTTTGATTTCCTTAAGCCACGTTTCCTTAGCATGCGTAATTCTAAAGTGACTCTGGCAGGGTACAAGAGAGACGAATCACCTATACCGCGTGGCCTTCGGCCCAAGTTAGGTTTACTGTCTTCATACGAACAAAATACTAGGGATACTTGGAAACGAAGCGATGATGTCAAGGCCCTTTCGTGGGTTGTCCTACTCATGAAAGTAGGGAGACGGTGGTCTGGCTTTGATCATTCATGGCCGGTCATAACTACGTTCATCATCAACGTCCTAGATGATTCTGATGCGTACTATAGGGAACAAGGGTGCCATCTTCTTAACATCTTTCTCAGTTGTGAACTCGGTGACTTGTTGCTCAAGTCAGGAATGGTCCATGTGTTTCAGGAGGCCCTTGAGACCAGTTTAAACTTTCTACCGAGTCTCACTCCGGCGGAAAAATCATTGAGTTTGTTGTCAGCAACATATCCCACTTTGTACTCATTGCAACATTTGAAAAAGGCTTCCCCTATGGAATTCGTGGGAATCCTTGATAAACATATTCTTGGTCTGATCTCACATGTTCAAGGCAGACACAATGACGCGAAAACAAACTCTGTTCTCAGATTTCTTCTAAGTCAAATTGCGATTATTGTCACTGATTATATTGGGCCTTCTGTTCTTGGATGTTTATCACGTCTAATATTTGTCTTGAACCAATTAATCGTCAATCCATTTGTGATTGACACTGAAGACGGTGTTGGGGTTGTAAATGCAGCATTAGAAGCTCATTGTGCAATTCTTCAAGTTTTTGCGAAACTAAATAACAAGGAAGGTTCGAATCTAGTCATGCTGTACCGATATGACTTCATTGGCCCGTGGGTTATTTTGTGCAAGAGAGTGTCTAGGTTTAATGTCGGGGATTCACAAACTCAAGCACTTTTGGAAAAGAATGTTGCACTTCTCGGAGATATATCCAAATCAGCTGCACTTGGAGATAGCCTTAAGGAGGACCTACAACAGACTTGCCTCAAAGTCGCCGAGTTTAAAAGTTATGTCCATTAAATGATTTACACTGTATTTACAAGATGTTGATCGATTATTGTTGCCCTTGCAAAGCTTGAACGACCTTGATGTTGGTATCCAAGAATCTGTTCAAGCAGTTCGACAAGCATTGTTCTTCAGCCTTGTCTAAAGAGTTGCTTGTGATCTGTTTGTTCTCGTTGCACTTTTTAAAGCACATGTCTGTGAAGTTGTGAATAGACATTTGTACCTTCGACTTGGAATTTTCGGCTTCAATAAACTCTAGAATCTCTTTTCTAGAGGCATCGTCAAGGCTCTGTAAAGCTGTCTGGGAGATCTGAGACATACTTAGGAATAAGTGGAGTTTGAATGGTAATCGCAGCCTGGAAAAAAAAGTCGGATTGTGAAATGTACGGGTGTATATTTGGCGTATTATGATTGTAATGTAGAGGTCTTCTTGAAAACGAAGAGTAAGATCATATAACATTTTGCTAGCTTATCCTTTCCCTCCAACTTCTTCTTTTCGGCTTGTGTGTCTCTCGTTATCGATTACCGCAACATTCTCGGTCTTCTTCATCTTGTGGGGTTGATGCGTTAGAAAAACACGCGAACATACACATTCACCATATGGCATTAGAAACAAGAAAGGATAGAGCTCAGAAGCTTTTAAGCAATCGAAAGCCTGTCACAGAGAGTACAGCATGGAGTTTAGCTCAAGAGACATATCTGAAAAGACTAGAAGGCGACATTGAAAGAACAAAGAAGTTTCTAGAGCAAGCCCAAGCAGCTAATACCAAGCTCGAACGAGAGCTATCCAATGAGCCTTTAGATGAAGAAAGTGAAGACTTAGTCAATTTACTAGGACTTTTTGAAGTCTACAAACTGCTTCCGTACATGCCCATGAAAAACGATCTGATTGGAATAGCTACAGCGGCATCTCTCACTAAAAACGCAGTTTTGGAGCAAAGCAAAGCCATATCAATGATTAGAGACGAAAACGAAGCCACAAAGACCGAGATTCAGAGACTCGAGAACATCCTAGCGGACTACGCTGAGTTTGACGAATTATTGCAAGCGAGAGTACAACAGCATCCAGCACGAATGGAGGAGCTCGAACAACAATTGCACGGATCGCGTAGCTTAGAGACGGAACTTGAGCACCAAATTGAATTTGGTCAGAAGTCTGTGGATCAACTAAAGAAAGTTGAAGATAAGATGTACCAGCATGTGAAGCGTGTGGTGACAAAATTACATGCTTTGCTTGATTGGGAAAATGCAAGTATGATGGATGAAGACATGTTCAAAGAGAGCCTTCGCAGGTCGATTGCACTAATCAACCGTATGATTAAAAGTTTGGTTAGTCAAGGAACTAAGCAGACTAAATGGGTCCAGGTGCCAGCAGGACCAGAAGAGAAGCTTGTTCAAGTTATGCTTCGCAATAACTTGATTCATGTGCGTAATGGAAATGGCTTAGAAATCCGTCTCCGCGAGTTTGGATTTGACTAGTGGATACGATTTTCATGTTGGTTGGCGACCCAGGCTTACTTCATTGTTGTAAGTGTTCATGAAAACGGAAACGAATATAATCACTATAGGAAATTGGACAGAAAAGATTAATGCAGTCGTGTCATGTGTCAGTTATCGTAAATGTGGGTATCCCCATAGACTAGTGATGTATGCGTCTTTCATTGGTTTTTGTCTGCATAAAGCAGATATGTCATTAATGCCAAGCAACTTCATCGTGGGGAAAACACAGGCGACAGAGCATAGAAACGACCGATTGTGACGCTTTTTTTTTAACCAGTAAAACAGGATAATGCGGGACACTGACACCTAGATGGGAAACTCGAGAGACAATTGGCGAAAGTGAAGAATTGTCTGATCATGTTGTGTACTCATCAGTATCGCAAGTCGTCATGTCGCGCATCGGTTTAAATTACGATAGCCACAGATCAAGGTAACATACAGGCTAACCCAAAAAAAGCGAGATGTTACTTTTCGTCAAGGCGCATGTACCTGAAGAACGTTTGTTGGAACAACGTAAATAAAGAGGCTGAGCTTATCTTCTGTCCTGATATCTAGTACGTCATTGGTTTGTGAAGAATTCTTTGCAATATGACATGAGATTTGTTACAATACATATTTGCAGAATGTAGTTCAACTGTTCGTCTTACGTAGGGCAACTGTATTTGCTTTTTTTGGAAACCTATCGAGGGATTAAACAAGACATCCTGTGATAGTCTATGCGGACTGCACGATGATTTGCTACTCATGCATTTACTACATCCACCATAACCATCGTAACTGTTCATGCAGGTTTACGGAATAAATTCAAGCCGTAAAAGAATGAACAACAACAGGCAATGATTCATATTCCCTTCCTGCAAATGAGAGATTTGAAACCGGAACAGCATCCGGAGTTACCCATGTGGCTTAGTTTGTCTCTTTTTGGTTACTGTTTTTGCTCATTTGTAGTGGTCGATAAAGTGTGCGTGAGAAAAAAGCTTAAAAGCACCGGGTTCGCCTCCAGGAAAAAGGAACACACTAGCCATACGCAAACCAATCGTGCCTCAACGTAAGGGCCTCGACTGTCAGATTACAGAACGGACGCCACGGGATTTTGCACTTTGCAGCTTTTTTTTTTTTTTGTCCGGAAATAAAGGCAGTTTTTGACGTTCGGTGTGCACATGCCCACAAAGGACATGGGTCTGGTTCCGCATTGATTTCTAACCCATTTTATCCACCAAAACCTACTCATTTCCTCCGGTCCCCTGACCAAAAACTGTCAGTAATGAAGATTGAATCTCAGCCGGAGTTGAAGCGCCGCAAAAGAAATAGACTCACTGTCGTTTGCCAACGGTGCCGCTTAAAGAAGGCAAAATGCGACAAGAAACAGCCTTGCGAAACCTGCTCCAAATCCAAGTGTCCAGAGCTATGTATCTACGAAAACTCCACCATCGACAAAAAGCCACTGTCGGTCTCGCTAAATCTGGTGGGCATATCCGCCCCACAATCCATAGAAAGCATTCCGCAGTCGCGGATGGACTCGTTAGACTCGGAGTCAAACACCCCAAAAGAATCCACTACGTCCCTGATTTCCCATGTTGTAATTGAAACAAGTGATTTCTTGATTGGTGTCAACCCTGTGGTAAGATCATCCAATATGGTAAACATGTATATGGACCTCACAGTGGATTCTCCATCGTCGATGATGTCTGGTAATGAGCACAGCTTCAGAATGTTCAAGTGCTATAGACATTCCCACAGGCCAGTCCCTTTCGTTGAACTTTCGCAACAAGAACCTGGAAGTCAGTTGTATTGGCGTTATAAAGGGAAAGAGAACCTCAAATTGATGACTATACAGAACTTCGAGCCAGAATCACTTCGAAATGAATTGGCAATCGCAACGCGGACTAGGTTTGGAGAAAGATATATCCACAGCAAATCAGAAGCGCAGTCATTAGGGATCACCACAAAAGACCGGACCATACAGTTGTCGGCTTATGGTATCAGCTTTGGCCATTCTTTCACACCAGAAACTTATGATAATGAGAACCAGCTAGAGAATTTGCGTGCTATCCTTCCAGATAGACATTCTTTATTGGGTTATGTGAAGCGATTTTTTGAAGTCATATACCCCGTGTACCCTATCATCGATGAGGAGTGGATGTTTGGGCAGATCACTAGACTACTCCGGTTTTCACCAACTGGGGAGTTGGATAATGTCCTTATGATGAGCAGAGACGACCATGTGATCATATCCATCCTTCTACTAGTTTTGCGTTTGGCGTACCTTTCTTACTTTACCAATGTCGCTGATCATAATGAGAGAATTCTCCGTACCGTTAGGTCTTCTTTTCCAGGGGCTGCTACATTGGAGAATAGCCCTGTCACTCTCACTGCGGTTCTGGTAGCTTCTGAATTCCTTGAACGAGGATCGAAGGGCCGTAAAACCCTGTTGGTGACTTTGCAGGCTAATATTATGAAATGTATCTTGAGACTACTTGCCTCAGATAGAGAAAATGGATTTAGTATTCTTCACGACAATACCAACTGTGCTAAGTTGATTCAGATGGCTATTTCTTTATCCATGGAACGTGACCCTGATTACATTGCAGAATATTCCCCGGCTGGTAAAAAGCTCAGTAATTTGCGAAGAAAGATATGGTATGTGTTGGTGCGCCTAGATTTAACTATGTCGTACCTTTTCCACTGCCCACGGAGTATTACATCTGAGATGTATAATACGAAACTACCGGTGTTCTCTCCTTCAGCATCCAACATCGAAGATTTGACTTTAGAAAAAGAAGTCCTTGATCTGATGAGTGAAATTCATCTGGTCATGGAAGCAGGCTGCTCGTTACTCGATATCTCTTTGAATGTGAAGGACCTTTTTAAAGCTAATGATGTCCTTCAAAAGTTGACGGACTTTGAACAATGCATACAGGATGTTATTGGTACCCCATCTGAGTACTTGAGCGGGCAGAGGCCTTCCAAGTATACATCAAACGTCTTAACAGTGCTGGCATTACAGACACAATTGATTTTGAAGCTATTCATCGGAAACGCATATTATTTCTTCTACTTATACTATAAGTATAGAAATAAGCTGGAGCTAGAATACTTTTTCTTGCGCAAAGTCCTTATCATCATGTTCGTTGAAATGAACATCTATAGTATGGAACTTATGTTTTTGAAGCATGATATCGTGAACTCTGAGTTTTTTCTTTTTATGAGCCCAGTTCTACTTCTTTATGTGCATGGGATTGCAATGGTTGGTTTAGGTCTTGCCATAAGGCTTGACTGTTCGGTCATAGTAGCAGAAAGCTCAAATCATACTACCTCTGAGCATGTTGAGTTGCTCAAGAAGTTGACTCAAAGAAACGAATGTTTTGTGTTGGGGAAACTCAAACTTTGCAAGTTTATGAGCGAACGTTATTTTTACGCTTGGAAATGTCTGAAATCATTTGGACATGGATACAAAACTATATATGAAGCGGAGTTTTATGGAAACTACATTGAGGAGCTTTCGAAGACTTCGGTTTCGTGGACTACTCGCCAACAAGAAGAAATGATGGATTTGATTCCTTCTGCAGTCCCTGAAGTGGTTGCTGGTGTGGGAGATATAAGCCGATACACTTACTGCAGCGATAGCAGTATGGAAGATGCTGACCTCAAAGGTGATGATTTGCTAAAAACCATTCAAACTGATCATTTCTGGATCTGTTTCAATACAGTCAAAGAAAGCATCTACCTGGATTTTCCAGTCACGGAAGAGTTGGAGATATTTGGGGCAAAAACACAGAATTCGGTACTTCCGGAACAGGGCACTTCTGAGTCACTGGTGATGAGAACGCCACTTTCCGGGGATGAGAACCTCGATACAAAGTTGCCCCAATCTATTGTTCCAGTTAAGGACACTAGGTATGTGTCGAATTTTATGGATCAAAATCCGCAAGAAATCATAGATTTCAATTTGTTTTCTACGGATTGGACAATTGATGAATTGTTCAATCAACATTTTGATTAATAAATTTACCTTCCAAGCTGCTGGTGATTAAGTCATGGGAAAAGAAAAAAGTAAATAGCAATTGGGACTAAGATATAGTATTAAATTCAGGAATCATGCACTGCCGCATGAGAGTCTTTGTAGATGTAAAACTGTATGAAGATAATACAGTCCTCGAAAATGGTTCCCAAGGACCCTAACAACCAACTTAAGTTGAGCAATATATAGTGCGGATCGCTCTTGTACAACAAAATTTGACCAGCATAAGTAACATTCCCCAAGGTGGAGAACATAAAAAAAAGCAAGCTCAAGCCATCAACAGATCTTCTTCTGTGGTTCTGAATTATTTGTGGAATTCTGGCTCCCAAGTACAAGAGGGCAGAAAGATAACCAACAATTTGAGGCCCTAATGCAATGTCGGATGGAGGGGCATCATCCCCCTGATCACCTGAAGCAGGGTTGCTAAAAACAAAACCCAAACAGCCGGCTCCAATAACAAAAACAATGGGCAAAACAAACTTGGACCAAATGCTATGGTACTGAGGCTCAACGGCAATGTCCGTGAGGGCAGATGATCTTCTTCTTCTCACCAAGGGTTCGGTTTCACTAGAGCCTTGTGACGCATGGTGCTTCTTGTTGTGGTGCTTGGGATAGACATAAGAATAATAGAAAAAAGAAGCAATCATCAAGAAGTCGGCAATACAGAACCATGCAGCAAGGAAAATGACCTCGGACAACAAACCCGCCCAAAGCGCACCAATCAAGTTGAACAAGTCCCCGACGAACCAGATAGAAATGAATCCTATGGCGATACCTTCAGCAGATTTCATTCGCCATTGCTCTATTAATTGCGGCATCAACAAGACAATCCAACAGGCGAGGCTTTTAGTGTTAGTGTCTATGGTAAATGGAAGCAGCGTAAGATGCTAATGGACTAAGCAGCACAAGTGGAAAGAATCCCAAGATTTGCATATACATACGAAGTGGAGCCCATAATCCCTGAGGCTGTAGTTCTCCATGACAGCTCAGCTTGGGCCGATGTGGCCATTTGGAGAATAGAAAACATGAAGCCGGTGGACGTAGAAAGATAAGCTAAGGAATAATTGAGTGGTCGCGGAATATGAGGTCATTTGCACTTTGCAGCGAAAGACACGCTAGCTATGAGACTATTAGTGAAAAGTCTGTCTCTTTCTACAATGTGTATAAATATATGTATATATTTAATTCTGAACTCTTCACTGAATTTTTTAACTAATAACTGTAATCTTTTTCTTGACTTATCCGTCCTTCTCTGGATCTTGTGTCATGTACTGCATACGCGGGCGGGAAATGCTTCGTATGCCGCGGCTGGATTGGCGCTAGAAAAAATTTTCAACCTTGATTTTCTTTTCTCTCAAGCCAAATTTTCCAAATACAAAATGGTATGTTAAGCTATTGAAAGACATCGCATATCTTCCCTAGAAGCACACGATTGTGCATCAGGAAGTGAAGCCATTTTCATCTGCTAAAAGTCAGAGGTGGGTGTCAGACCAGTTCCTCTTTGTAGACAAAGCCAGGATCCATTTGCGTCAGCAATACGCCTCTGTTTTAACTTTTTTTAGTTGTGCAAGAATGTGATTTCACTTCTTGGTGCACAGGCTGAGTACCCTTCGTGGTACTGTAGAGTGAGTTCTCGGTTGATTGTTCGTTGAAGTGTCTTATGGAGAACAATGAAAAATTCGAAACTAACTCAATGACACAGCCTGCCAAGAAAGTTGCCCCAGCTCCTTTAGCTACCAAGAGCCAAGCCTCTAAAGCTCCAAAGAACCCTTTGATTGAGGCCACCCCAAAGAACTTTGGTATCGGTCAATCTATTCAGCCAAAGAGAAACTTGTCTAGATTCGTCAAATGGCCACAATACGTTAGATTGCAGAGACAAAAGAAGATCTTGTCTATGAGATTGAAGGTTCCTCCAGCTATATGCTCAATTCCAAAACACTTTGGACAAGAACACTGCTGCTCAAACATTCAAGTTGTTCAACAATGTACAGACCAGAGACTGCTGCTGAGAAGAAGGAGAGATTGACCAAAGAGGCCGCTGCCATCGCTGAGGGTAAGAAGGCTTTCGACGTTTCTCCAAAGCCAGTTGTTGTTAAGTACGGTTTGAACCACGTAGTCTCTCTTATTGAGAACAAGAAGGCCAAGTTGGTTTTGATTGCCAACGACGTTGACCCTATTGAGTTGGTTATCTTCTTGCCAGCTTTGTGCAGAAAGATGGGTGTCCCATACGCTATTGTCAAGGGTAAGGCTAGATTGGGTACTTTGGTTCACAAGAAGACCTCTTCTGTCGCTGCCTTGACCGAGGTTGCTGCTGCTGACGAGTCTGAGTTGGCTAACTTGATCTCTACCATCAACGCCAACTTCATTGAGAAGTACGAGGAGACTAGAAAGCACTGGGGTGGTGGTATCATGGGTGCCAAGCACAACGACAAGGCCGCCAAGAAGGCTAAGCAAATGGACGTTCCAGTTCAAGCATAAATGGGTACTTTTCTTTCGGTTTTACAATGCACTCTTTCAATATAATATCTTCGCTTAAGTTTTAACGTAGTCTTTAGTAAATAATGAGTGTTTAAGAACAAAATCGTATCCAGCTTTGGAAGACACTAAACAAGTAAACCAACCTTACGCAATACATATTTTTCCTTTTACCGGTTAACCCTTTTGCTGTTTAACCCATCAATTTGCTACTGAGGGATTCAAGTGAGCTAGTATGAGAGTACTCTAAACGGAGATATGTCAATTTGTCACGTGGATGTTTGTGACTGTTTGTCCGTGCACGACTGCTCGCCCATCCTCCAGTCGCTCTGCCTAGGTGGAAAAATTGCTTTAGGCGCATTATTTGTCCTGTTTCTTTCCAACCACACATCGAAGGTATGTCCGAATTCAAGGCTGATTATAGCTAGCAAACGTGTGATCTTATGAAGAAGTCCATCCTCCTTCCCGAAAACCTCTGCGGCGTATAGCTGTTTATGATTTCACACGGGGGTTCTTTCATTTTTCATCCAGGCCCTTTTTTTTTCCTTGTCCACTACTAACATTTAAAGCGAAATGTCTAAGTCTAAGAACCACACCAACCACAACCAAACCAAGAAGGCTCACAAGAACGGTATCAAGAAGCCAAAGACCTACAGATACAGATCTTTGAGAAACGTTGACTCCAAGTTCAGAAGAAACCACAGATACGCTTTGCGTGGTACTGCCAAGGCTTTGGCTGCTGCTAAGGAGAACTAATCTGTTTGGCACATTCGTGTATCTATACAACTAAGTATCTAATTGAACTTTTCAACGTCTACTATTGTGTAATTTGTGTTTCAGCTGACCAGGTGCACCATGCTGTTATACCTTGCTCGTTTTTTTCAAACTTGTGGGAGTATGTTTTTGTTCGTGTTAGGACTTATCTCAGAAGCTCCTTCTGGTTAAGATATCTTAAGATGTCTTCGTAGTTCCATGAAACATGGTGTCGTGTGTTGGGATGCGCACGCATGTTGTTGCAAATCGGGATTGCTGCAAAACCAATATGGGCCGCTTATAAATTTTGTGTAAACCCCCTAAAATCGAAAGATATCCCTTGAAAATATATGCTAACATGACCACAAAAATCTACATCTCCAACCTAAACTATTATACTACGGAAGATGAATTGAAGGAGTATTTGGCTCCATACAATGCGTAAGTTTACTAATACTATTATGTGGAATATTTCTAACAACAAGCACCAATGTATTTATTCCAAACTATTTTGTTAGATTTGGGGGTCAATGGACAAAACCATTGGGAATTGCCTACGCCGATTTGCCTTCTCTTGAAGAGGCTGAGAAGGTAATGAGTGATTTAGATAAATCAGTATTCAAAGACCGAAAATTACGTATACGTTTCCATGTTCCCTTCACCCCTGGCCCCCGTTTCCCTCGCCTTGGATCTATAAAGCATCATGCAAAAAAGGATACTTTGGCCGAGGAAACAAGTCCACCAAGCGACGATGAAGAAGATGAGGTCACATCGGCTGGCAATACCCCACGTCCTGTTGACCAGGAGTCCCCTTCATCTAACATCCAGTTTTCTGAGTCTGTGCTTTTTGTGAAAGGTATGAGACATAAAGTGAGAGAAGAAAAGATCATGCTGTACTTCAAAGAGTTTAACCCCATGGAAGTAATCATACAAAAGCCTCGTGGTATCATGAAAGGATTGAAGTCTCGCGCGTATCATAGTTTGGTTTTGTTCGATCTTCCATTTGGCGTAAAATTAGATAAAGTGATTTCTGAATGCAAAGGTCGCTTGTTTGACGGTTATCATCTTACCTTGATGAGGGCGTTTGCTCTGAGGGAAAAATTATTTAGCCTTCAGGTTCCTGTCGAGCCTCGTCTCCAAGATGGCGAAACCGCATTGTCACTCCAGGCTTTGGGGCCCAGTACGCCGGTTACTCCTATCGCTACAATAGAAAATACTTATCACCGGGTAACCCGACCCAAAGGTAGTGACGAGAAAGTGCAATTGGAAGCACCACAACATAAGGATGAGAATTTGCAGTCTGCTAATTCAGTTGAAGCTGTTTACGCTGAACTGAAGCTGAATGAAAACGACTCCCACGAATCTTCAGCGAGGATGGAAAATAATGCTGGTGCCAAAAAGTTCTCCGATGAAGTAGTTGATCTGCCAGTTGCGGCTGTCGCGAGTGATGATACATCTAATGTGATTATCGAGGATGGCACCCACGTCGAAAGGACGAAAACACCTGGGGTTAACTCGTTTAAAAAAACCGAAAGTGATGATCAGACGACTAATTCGAAGGGGGAGTCCCATGATAGAGCAGAAGTGGCAGTTGGTTCAACTAAGTCGAAGGGGGAGTCCCATGATAGAGTAGAAGTGGCAGTTGGTTCAGTCTGTAATGACTCGAACAAGATCATCGTGCACGCGGAAGCAGTGGTGGAGCCAATATGATAGTACAAGCCGACGTAAGTAGTAGAATACAGCTACAACGACAACAGACATATTATGGATTACTTTTGTGCTTCATTACTATTTATACACCGAAATCAGCAATACGCTTAGTCTTGAGTCTTTTGAGTACCTCTCAACAAACCGGTTCTTCTAGCAGCAATCAAACCAGCCTTTTGACCTGGAACAGCACCTCTAGAGATGGTAGAGGCCTTACCAATATGTTGATGGTTACCACCACCGTGAGGGTGATCAACTGGGTTCATGGCCACACCTCTAGTTCTAGGCCACGAGTTTCTCTTGACCTTGTACTTGTGGAAAGCTCTACCAGCCTTCAACAATGGCTTGTCGATTCTACCACCACCAGCAACGACACCAATGACACCTCTGGCGTCAGAGGAGATGACCTTCTTGGCACCAGATGGCAACTTGACTCTGGTCTTACCTTCATCTGGGTTGTGTCCAATAATGATAACGTAGTTACCGGAGGTTCTACCCAAAGCACCTCTGTCACCAACCTTCTCTTCGACGTTAGAGACAATGGTACCTTCTGGACAAGAGCCCAATGGCAAAACGTTACCGACGTTCAAAGAAGCCTTCTTACCACAGTAGACGAATTGGCCAGTGTAAACACCTTCGTTGGCAATGAAGATTTCCTCTCTCAACTTGTATCTGTATGGGTCTCTGAAGGCAACCTTGGCCAATGGAGCACCTCTACCTGGGTCGTGGATAATCTGCTTGACGATACCACGGATGTAGCCGTGACGTTCGGCATAGTCCAAGGTTCTCAACTTGGCAGCACCCTTTCTCAATCTGGTGTGAGAAGTGAAGATGGAGCCGGCACCCTTTCTTTGGTTACGAATCACTCTACCTAAAACATGTTAGTTTGGAACAAGAAAAAACAGCAATTTGGGACCATATGAAATTTCCCTGAGTCTTCGTCTCCGTATCTTCCTCTCTGAATAGACTTCGGTTGCTTCTGTCTGCTGCTTGTATGAAAATATGGCAACATACCCATTGTTAGTGTTTAGTCGAACTAGGGAATTCCTCAAGAGTGAATTTTCACTGGGGTGCGAAGAATTTTCCCTGGAGCTGTTCCGGCATACATGCTCTTAACATTTTCAGGGCACAAGCCCTCGGTTTTGTGACGGTCGCATTCTAGGTGTGTGCACGTGACTTTGTTAATTGTGGTGGTGCTTCTCTACAGCTATCTACAATCAAAAGTATCTCTTGCAAGTAATTTACCATTGTTGTCCGCGCCGGATTCTCACACCAATGAAGCGCGCAAAATCGTCAAACATGTTGTCTGTTGCTGTACTTGAAAGCGCCTTGACACGCTCTTCCAACGACTGTTCCTGCCGGTCGGGCGCAAACAACTTCTGCGCATCTGCCGCACTCAAGTCATCGTTCTTTAAAAGTTCCGCCAATTCTTCGGACGGTTCTTCAGGAGGCAACAAGTCGTAGTATTCGCACAATTGTAAAATATCTGCTGCCTGCAATTTCAAGAGCTCACCAACAGTGGCTGGGAAGTTTTCTGGTGCAGGCTCGCCGTCGCGAGTAGATAGAGGCGCAATAAGTGCATCTGGGTCGGAGGAACTTGTAAGGTTCGAATTAAACACACGCTTGATATTTCTGTCTTCCATGTGATCAAGTTGGATTTGCAATTCTCCGACCAATTGCACGATGTCTTCGTTCGTGGCAAAGTCCTCGGTTTCGACCTTGACTGGCTTCATGTCTATGTTCGCCATTTTCGTCCTGACATCCTTCATCTGCAATTCCAAAACTTGCTTCCCTGTTTTAGCTATTACCTCATTTTGTTTGTTTACCAAGGCAGTAAGCTCTTTGATCTGCGTGGTGATGTCGTCAGAAGCCATGATAAGAACCTGTAGTAAGATAAGCGGTGTTGTACTTGCATTATTTGCAGGACATGGCTACGTCAGTAAAAGATTAACCTGAAGTCGAACAAACTGGCCGTGTCAATTTTACAAGCACTAAATGCAGTGTTCTTCTAGAAAATACATGTTTCATGCTGCTGAAAGAGTTATGGCTTTCTCTTTTCTCTTGTGGGTAAATGGGTTACAACGAGAATAATGCCTAGTTTTACATTCTTTGTCTCTTAACTATCCTCCTTCATCACAAATTACCGTCAACCATTAGATTCACATTCCTGGCCGAATACCAAATCTTCGAAACTTACCTTGTTTGCCAGCGTACGGCATCCAATTTCGTGTTTGCGGGCCATTTCTCGGAGGCTTAGTGCCATGACAGAATGTCTGATGCGGGGTTGATTGCGCACTGATACAGTATTACATCACAGAAAGCAACCTAATCGATTGCATATAAATCAGAATCCATGGCTTTGCCACGTTAATTCAATCCACAATGACCACAAAGACAGAAGTTGAGTTAGTTACTCAGCCTGAAGAAAGTGGCTCTCAGGTTGACAAAGAATCTACCTTGAAGAAATTGAAGCAGTTGGCAGAAAATTCCAAATCGTCGCCAGAAAGTGAGAAGGATGAAGATGGCTTCGTTATTCCCGAGGGGAAACTACCGATAGACGGAAATTTTTCGACAGAAGAAGTCAAAAAACTAATTGAGATTGCTAAAGAGGATGGCTCTATGGCCGAAAACATTCATGTGGAGGTGCTCGATGGAAACAAAATAGGCGAACGAGTCAAAATTGTGGAGAAATCAGAGCATGATGGCAAAGCAAATGGCCATGAGAAGGACGAGAAGGAAAAGAGCGATTAACAATAAGAGGAGAGAGAGGGAATACATAGAGAAGATCATTCAAACTTACATTGGTTACAAGATATATGAGAGTGTGTACTAGTAATATATGGGTTCAAGTATATTCTGTTGGCCGTAGAGTATCACTTGCAGGCAGGAGTTGATGGATCTGGGAGAAGTGTAACTTCAAACCCAATTGTGTTTTTAAAAAAAAATACGTCATTTAAACTGCTGGAGACTGGGCGGTCGCGTATCAGTCGGCTGAGAAAGCCTTCGCATGGGCAGAAAACCACTTTTAAGCGTTTCTCACCCACCATCGTTAGCTTCCGCCTTGAGGGTTGCTACAAAGCTTACTCTATGCTGTTTTTATCTCCAAGTGATTTATAGGTGCTACTGTGATGGTTTTCTATTTTTGGTGTAGCTTTTTGTCTTTTGCAATAGTATGGTTCACCTTGTCTGTATACAAAAAAAGCTGAATTTTACCAATCTTCATCATATATTCACTCACTTCATGTTTAATCAAAGCGATTAAAATTTGAAAAATCCTATTCCACTATTTTTTTCATATACAATGGTCCGTGACATATCACGCAAACCACTTTATTTGGTTGTCTTTACGGGCCTTTTGTTGTTGTACTTGACATGTTACACTTACCTTCAAAGTGACTTACGAGGGCCTGATCGTCCCGAATGTAGAGTTGTCTACATGTATCCGTCATATGCCCGCATCAGGTCCTTTGATGAATCCCACACAAAATACGCCAGCAAGTTTTCCTTGTACTTGTATCGAGAGCAAGGATTGGATACCATTCCAGAAGACGAAAAGGAAGGCTTTGAAGCTTTGGATGGCATTCCAGCCTTGTTCATTCCTGGAAATGCGGGATCTTACCGCCAGGTTCGGTCCATTGCTGCAGAAGTCTCGAACTTGTATTTTGACGAGAACATTAATGTTGTCAATAACCCCAATATGAAGAATTATGATTTTTTTGGAGCTGATTTTAACGAAGATTATACGGCCTTTCATGGCAGAACTCTTATTGACCAAGCTGAGTATTTGAATGAAGCGATCTCATTTATTCTACTGTTATACGCAAACAACCCTAATCCTCCAACGTCGGTTTTAATTTTGGCACATTCCATGGGTGGAATAGTGGCTCGTGTTTTACCCACATTACCTAACTACGTTCCAGGATCGATAAACACAATCGTGACATTATCATCGCCGCATTCCGCCGCCCCATTAACTTTCGATGGAGACATATTAAAGGTGTACCTGGCCGTGGACAGATTTTGGTACGAGGCCTTCGACAACAACTCTGTCCTGACTTCCGCTCGGGATCGCTTGCAAGATGTGTCTTTAGTGTCGATTACTGGTGGTGCTCTGGACTCTATTCTTCCTGCTGACTACACCACATTGGGATTCCTTGTACCACCATCAAATGGGTTTACCGTGTTCACTAGTGGTATCCCTCATGTATGGACACCAATGGATCATTTAGCAATTGTGTGGTGCCGCCAGTTGCGGCGGCAGGTCCTGAAGTTGCTTTTGGATATTGCTGATGTGACATCTCCTCAGAGAACATACCCGTTAGAGAAAAGGATGGCCATCATGAAAAAGCACCTATTGTCTGGATTTGAGAGCTATTCTGGAAAAAATAGACTCTTCTTAAAACCCGATGACAGACTGTTTGAAGTTCAATTTGACACAGAAGATTCAAGAAAACACGCAGATTTTAATGCCATGTGGAGTGCGCAGAGATCTACTGAAAAGGTTCATATCTTCCCATTATCTTCAGACTCAGTTATTCAGATTTTGAGTGAATCAAAGTTGAATCCAGTGAATGTTGGCGAAGAACTATCCTCTGCAGCAATTTTCCTTTGTACGAACGCAGGAAATGGCACAAACAAATTGAACGTGTCAACTTCGGAATCACCCTCCACATTGCATTGCTTTGACTTGTCAGATAAATTGAATCCAATCCCTCGATCGAATGATGAGGCTATTTTTCTCCTGGACTCATCATTTGACGGAGAATTGTCTCCCTTCTATGCTCTTACATTGGGTCCAGAGGACTTGAGTCTTTTTGACCTGTTGCTAGTAATTAAGGACCAAAGCTTAAATCAGTTGGTTATCCAACTGAGCAACCTACAAAGCTGCTCTTACGAAATTGGTGGGGATTTGCTGTCACTAGTTTGGCGAGGTGCAAAAATTACAATCCCTAGTGGTCGGCCAATGGCTATAAATTTGAACTTCCCGGGAGCTTGGAGTAGTGTTTTGGCATACAAAATAACTTATTCCGGATTTGAGAGATCAAATGCCAGCTGGTTTAACCCATTTATTCGCCAATGGAGAGACTGGCCATTTGAAACTAAGTGGTATATCAATGCAGACAAAAGCAATCAAGCAGTCATAACCATCCATGGCATTGCACCTTTCACCCCTTTTATGAAGAAAAATGATTCGAGAGGGCTCAATTTAGAAATTTGGGCTAACCCGTTCCCTACTTCGCATGAGGAATCTCTTCATATTTCGCTAAACATAGATTGGTTGCAGAGCTTGAAGCTTTTAGTCTTACGTTACCGCCTTGCAGTGGTATCCCAATGTTTTGCTGTCACTCTAGCTGTTTTGCTATTTCAAATTCTTGCCTTCCAAGCAAGTGGAAGATTCCCAGATTACAATTACGGTTTACAGAAGCTTTGTGACAGACGTCATCTTGTTCCATTGTTTCTAATTCTTCTCGGCTTGACACCCGTCACACGAATTCCATCTGTACAAGCTTTCCTTAACATGATAGATCCCGTTGTTCTCCAGGATCAAAATGAGATTAATTTCAGTTTGCATCAAGAGTTTAATCTCAACTCATTCTTCTTGGGCTTAGAAGAAGTCTCTCTTTCATTTTTTGGGTGTGTCTTCTTTTTGATGGCTGTCTCCCTCAACTTCATCATTTACAACATCTTGTCTTTACTTCAAAGGATAATTTCTCATATTGTACCGTTTGCCCCAAAGCCTGAAGAGATCAAAGACAACGAAATTGCTAAGCTATCTTCATCAGTGGTCAGAAGACTCATTGGTACGGCAATAGTCTTGGTATTAGTTCCCATATACTTACCCTATCAATTTGCTTTCATGGTGAGTTTTGTGATTCAAGTGATCACAACCCTCAAAGTTCTGTTGGCAAAGGCACCAAGATCAACATGGAATTACCACATGAGCGTGCTCATGGTGATGTTGACAGTGCTCCCGATTAACGTTCCTGTTCTTATTGTGTTTGTTCACAATCTTAATATTAAGTGGGGTACGCCATTCTCGTCGCATCACAATCTTTTGGCTGTTGCACCAATCCTTATTTTGGCAGAACTTCACAGTTTCTACCCTAACACAATACCATTCTCCACAAATACCGGTGCAAGAGCATCAAAGACAGAGAAGTTCAGCTCTAAGATAACATTGGGACTTCTTCTATACACTGCTGCATATGGTGTGATATATGGATGCCGTCATACATATTGGCTACACCACTTGTTTAACTTTTGGTGCAGAGGGGAATACTATATTGTTGGTAAACATCCTTGCACATGA